GTTCATATGTTTATTAATAGCTGTGTTATATTTCTTTTATAGAAAGATTGAGCTACATCTCATGATAGGTAATTCTTAAGGCCAAGCGTGGTGTTTAAAATTCTTTCTTATCTCCAATAGTTTATAAAATAATTTCTCAATTAGCAAGAGAGATAAACTTATTATTTTTAGAATATGTTGAGATACCTTTACTAATCTGATAATATGCTGAACTAAAAAATGTTACAAAACAGATTTTTGTTTTTTAATTTCAGACTTTATATGAGCACTATAGTGGTGGTGAAAGTCATGATTCTTCATCATCCAAGACTTTTGAAAAAAAATGGGAAAAAAAATAATTTGCAGCTACTCTTTAACTGTCAAATGATATCTGTAAAATATATTGAACTGATTCCCTGTGGAAATCTGCTGTTGAGGACAACTTTACTCTGAAATATTATCAGCAAAAATATTCAGTAGATTATCCTCAAAAGAAAACTTTAAAAATAATAACCACTAATGACACTGTATATATTAAATTATAGAATTGGTTTCTCTGTTTTATGCTTTCCTATAAATGTAATCTATTTGATATCATTTCACACTTGGAATAGTGGGTGGACAACTGACACATATTCTGAAGAACTTTGTAAATAAGCTTTGCAGCATAAAATGACACTAAAATTTCAAAGTTGTAAAGTTATTTTCTTCAAGCAAATGTATTACTGGCACGGCAGCAAAATTCTTAATAAATATTCGATTAAGGAAAGACATGGGAGTGGACCTTAGTTAATGAACTTTCAAAAAAAAAAACCCAAAAAGTTTAAATTCTAAAATAGGTTTTCTAATTATTTATGGCATCAATATAGTCTATAGTTCTAGGGCTATACTTGGCTCTTTCAATTCTCCATTTGTTCTTCATAGTATCTAATGTTTTTGGTGTTTAGAGTATCATGTTGGATTCTCTGGTGAAAATTATATATAGCATGTCCTCACTGTCTGACCTGTGTGGCAACTGGTAATTATAAATGTGGCACCAGAGTCTCTTTACTGAATCTAATAGCTTAGTTAAAGGTATCATCACATATGATTCTTTACCCAAGTTTTTTCAAAGATTTTAATAGACTTTATTTTTTAGAGTAGTTTTAGGCTCACTGTAAAATTGAGTAGAAAATACAGAGAGTTCCCATATATCACCTACCCCCATACACATACAACCTGCCTCACTATTAACGTACCCAACACCAACATCCCACAGTGGTACCTTTGTTACAGTCCATGAGCCTACCTTAACACATCGTTATCACTCAAAGTCCATAGTTTACATTAGGGTTCACTCCTGGTGTTGTATATCTATGACGTCTATCTACCGTTATAATATTACACAGAATAGTTTCGCTGTCTTGAAAATCCTCTGTGTTCTGCCTATTCATCCCTCCCTCTCTCCTAATGCCTAGCAACCATTGATATTTTTACTGTCTCCATAGTTTCGCCTTTTCCAGAATGTTACATAGGTGGAATCATACAGTATGTAGCCTTTTCAGATTGGTTTCTTTCACTCAGTAATACGCATTTGAGATTCCTCCATGTCTTTTTATGGCTTGATAGCTCATTTCTTTTTAGCACTGATTAATATTTCATTGTCTGGATATACCGTAGTTTATCCATTCACCTACTGAAAGACACCTTCGTTGCTACCAAGTTTTGTCAGTTATGAATAAAGACAGGGTCTTACCCTGTCATCCAAGCTGCTATATCTGTACACAGCTTTTTGTGTGGATGTAAGTTTTCAACTCTTTTGGGTAAATACCAAGAGAGTGTGAGTTTTTAGTTTTGTAAGAAACTGCCAAACTGTCTTTCACAGTGGCTGTACCCTTTTGCATTTTCACCAGCGATGAAAGAGAGTTTCTTTTGCTCTATATCCTCACCAGCATTTGATGTCTGTGTTTTGGATTTTAGCCATTCTAATAAGTGGGTAGTTGTATCGCTTTTTAATTTGCGTTTCCCTAATGACATATGATACTGAGCATCTTTTCATTTTCTATATGCTCATTTGCCATCTGTGTATGTTCTTTGGTCAGCTGTCTGTTCAGGTCTTTTGCCAACTTTTTAATCAGGTGGTTCATTTTCTCATTGTTATGGTTTAAGAGTTCTGCGTATTTTTAATAGCAGTCCTTCATCAGATGTGTCTTTTGCACATATTTTCGTTCAGTCTATGGCTCGTCTTCTCATTCTCTTGATTCCCAAATTTTTTACTGTGGTTATTAGTTTTCATGGTTATTGGTTTAAAATTAAAGGAATAGATAACTGGTAAGCTTAAACTGTAGTTCTGCAAACCTGCTCATGGAAAAGACGTAAAAATCCAACCTGGAAGTCAGACAATTTTTCCACATGTGCCCTTTGATAATAGTGCATTATTTTTTTCTCCTTAAAATCATCTTTTTTGTTTGTTTTTATTTTTTAAGTTTCTTTTGTCTTGCAAAAATCGTCTTGAAATTTATTGTGTATATAACCATTTTTTTTAATGCTTGTCATGTTAAGAGTTAGAAATTTTAACGTGGTAAAAAGTGTTATTTGTCACCTTGCAATAGTACCTGTGGACCTAGAATAAATAACTCAGTCTATAAATCTCACTATTGAAAGGCACCTATTTCCTTTGAAATTAAACAAGTGAGGATTCTTATCTGGATTTACACATTCCCCAAGCATGTTTTCCATTGTAACTGGATTGAATCGGCTACATTCTAGCATTGTATAAGTTATAAAAGCCAGCTGAGGTATCCAATTTAAGTGTGTCATCAGCACTCTACTAATCTGATCATCTTTTATCATAAATAATCTCATATACACACTGATTTTCAGGAGTTAGTGTGTCCTGGTATTTGGTAAGAAAAAATTTTATTGGCAATTTTGTGTTCCCCTTTACTGTGCCTAGGCTAAATAAAGGAATATATGACAATTTTCTGAGTGTTTAATTTTTTTCCCTCTGAACCTGCTTGGAGTTTAATAAATGCATTTTTTTATTTAGTAGTTGTACAATGTGGCCAAAGGGAAGGAGCCCTGGAAAGGACTCAGCTCTAAGCATTCTCTGGTAAGCTTTGCGGGCCTGGGCAAGTTACCGAGTATCTTTGAAACTTGGCCTCCTTTCTTAGTAAAATTAGAAGGATGAACTAAATGATCTCCTCTCAGTCTTAAGTCTATAAAATCCTATATAAAATATAAATTTAGATGAGGACTAGTTAATATAGGAAGAAAGGGAAAACAATTTTCGTATCTATGAAGTAACAACTTTTCTGTGTGAGTCCAGAACTAGGAAGCTAGATACGGGGTTCTGAAGTTTTCTTGTTTGAGAAATCCTAGAAGAGTACAGAAGAAAGAGGCCATCTTTCCTCTCAGCTTTTGGCACATCTGTAAGCCCAGCCTAGTTCCCACCGTTCCTATATTGACTATTCTTCTCCACCTCCAAGGAGAAAGGCTATAGGAGTACTTGAAAGCTCTGGCCTCTTCCACTTCTGTTCTGTCTGCTGGCTGAATGGAGCTGTGGCCAGAATGGGAGAAAGAAGATGTGAGACTTAAGTGAGAATGTGCTGCTGTGAGCTAGGTTGGCTGTCTAATTTTGTCTTGAATTTTTTTGGTTTTCTGTTTTGTCATCTCTATTTAGTGGGGTAAGATTGTGGGTAAGAAATCCTAACACTGAGCATCTACTTAAAATTGGGTCAACTGCTTAGAATACGGTGAACAGTAGATTCAGTCTAGTTTTCTAGGAGCTTTTTGCCTAATGGGGGAGATCTCCATCAATACTCATTGCCTTGGGCTCTTATCCTAGCTCATGATTTTAAAGACCATATGCTTGTGGATAATTCTCCTATTTATATCTCTAACCTAGACTTACCTCTTGAACTCTGGACTTGCATTAATACACTAATTGACTATTCAATATCTCCACTTGTATGACTCAGCATATGCAAAATAAAATTGACCCCTGTCAAAAGCTGCTCCCCTCAAATTCTTCCCTATCTCAGCTGATGGCAATTCCATCCTTCCACTTACTCAGGCCTAAAACCATAGAATCATCCTTAACTCCTCACTTTTTCTTACAGCCCATAACCAGTCCATCAGGAAAAGTGTTGGCTCTATTTTTGAAATACATCTAGTCTGGCCATTTCTTGCCACCTCACTGCTGCCAACCTGTTGTGAGAATCATCTCACCTGGATTACTGTAACAGCCTCCTAACTGGTCTTGCTTGTACCTTTTACCCATTATAGTCAATTGTTAATGTGACAGCCAAAGTGACCCTTTTAAAACATCATGGTCATATCATATCATTCCTCTTTTCAGAACCCTACGATGACACTCAATTTCACTCTGACTAAAAGCCAGCATCCTTACAGTGGCTTACCAAGCCCAGATGTCAGTGGTCCCCAACCTTTTCGGCACCAGGGACCGTTTTCATGAAAGACAATTTTTCCACACACCAGGAAGCGGGGGCATGGTTTCGGGATGATTCAAGCGCATTACGTTTGTTGTGTACTTTATTTCTATTATTATTACATTATTATACAACTCAGCATAGGTTGGGGACTCCTCCCTTGTGTGATCCGATCTCCTGCAACTTCTCTGCCTCATTACCTACTCCTGCCCAGGTTCTCTGCTCAAGCCACACTGGCCTTGTTTTTTCTCAAACATGCGAGGCAGCTATCACCTTCAAGCCTTTACTCTTAGTTGTTTCCTACCCCCAGTATGCTCTTCCCTCACCTCCATCAAAATCTGCTCAGATATCAACATTGCAAGTAGGCCTGTTCTGATAATCCTATTTAATAGTGCAACTTGCAGCCCATAACCCCGGCATCCCTGATGCCCCTAACTCTACTTTTTTCCCCTTCAAAGTGCATATACCTTTGACATAATTTGAAAAATAAATTACAAAGAAGTGAATGATTTATTGTTAGTATGGAAGTTCCTCAAGGGCAGAGATTTCAATCTCTTTCATTTAATACCTAAAACAATGTTGCCATATAATAGTTACCAATAAATACCTGTGGATACAATGCATGAAAGGTTTTTTAATGTGGTGGGGTAACAGCTGTGAGAATTATGCACAAAGAGCAACAGAAGTGAGGAAGGACTATGGAACTAGGTAGGAGGGTAAAGAACTTTGTAAGGCTGAGAGGCTTAAGCTGAATCTCAAAGGAGATCCAGGAGACAGGGTAAAGAAGAGAAAGGTGTGTTACAGAAGAACAAATTGCACAGATGAGTATGCAACAGTTTTGAGGGATGAGTAGCATAGGGGGCAGTCATGAGAGATGAGCTTTAGAGGATAAAGAGAATCAGATCACGAAGCCTTTTTTTTTTTTTTTG